GTTGTGAAATTAAAGCCCGAAAAAAATTGAGGCCTGAATTGTTTTCACGCTTTAATTTCACAACTACTTAACTTGTGTGTATAAAGTGATCAATCATGTCTTCATATGTAAGCAATGCTGAAATTAACTGTTGAAACCAGAAAAACTAAAAAAAACTAGCAAAATAAAATAACTCCGCAAACGTTTCAAGACAGATTTTTGTAAAAAAAAAAAAAGAATTAAATTTAAAGCTTTGTATCAAGCCAAGAGAAACTCCAGATTGGATAATGATATTGGACAAGTTTACCCTATCAAGAGTAACATAGACACAATCATGCTCTACCAGCAGACACCAATGGAAAAACAATCATATTTACAGATTTCCATCTGAACACACTGAGTGTGGGCCTGTGTACATCCTCCCAAAAAAGTCGTGGGGGAATTCTCCTCAAATTTTTGGGTGGAGGGGGTAGCTAATAGCCTCATAGGCAGACATTCTGAAGGCTTGTCACACACTCCTCCCTAACGTGGGGAAGGAAGACTGCGTGATGAGTCCAAGGAGCATCTGTGTAGAAGGCTAGCTGGGTGTCTACAATTAAATGGTCTATGAATGTAAATTTAATAAAAAAAACATTTGACACAAAATGAAACACACCTGCTCTCCAGTATCATGATCACCCAGGTATTACCATTCATCTGGGAAGGCCTCCATCACTCCTTCCTTTATCTGGCTCTGGACCCAATCTAATCCAAACTCTCCATCACTGATCCAACTCAGATCAGTTATCCAATCAGTGACTTCATCCCACATTTCTCTTCTTGGTCCGTGTGAAGTTGTTTTCTCTATACACTCGATTCTCTTGTTTCTTCTGCTACTACCAAGGGCTGTCATACATCATTCTTGAAGACATTTTAATGTTTTTGTTTGGGTCCTTAGATCTCTTATAAGGGCCATCAAAAGTTTGATAGCAACACAACAATTTTAAAATTACTTGCACAATTATTTCTGGTGTTGAGGTGAAAGTAAAAGGTCATGAGGTAACAAAAAAGAAAACAGAGACTCGGAAGAATGCGTTTAAAAAGAACTCATCGTTTTATTGTTTATAACCTTTCCCCCTCCATATACAGTTTTTTTTTTTAAAGAAAATATGATTTTATACTATTTGGTATAAGGAATTATCTGTTTCTGTACCCTATTTTGTGTGACAAATGTAACAGTATTATATATGTACAAAACATTTTTGGAATGTTTCCCAAGACATTGTGTGGACTACATGTAATACAATTGTAGTACAATTCCTAATAGTCAACTATTTCACTGTATAGTAATATTCTCCAGCATATTACCGGTATTCTATTTTTGCAAGAGCTGAAGTTGATCATATGTTATGAGACCACAAACATTTGTCCACCCAGAAAAATATTTATGTATGAGCATCATCGACTTTTTCAGGAGAAATATGTAATCTGGAGCTCACTTGTTTTTTGTTTCTCTGTTTTAGTCAATGGCTCATACATGTATCGCAATTGAGACATTCCTACATATTTTACCCAATTTGCTTGTCGGTTACATGAGAAACATTAATGTGAAAATATGAGGCATATGGGTGTAAACCTTCACTGACCCTTACATTGTTTGCTTTGGAGACCTCTTGCAATAAAGTCATTTATATTTCTGGCTTTGTACTGAGCTTCTCTCAACTGTAGAATTCACTGTTTTGTGCAAAAAAATTTGTTACTCCACATAAACAGAATATGGTTTCAGGAAGAGAGAAATCCAATTCAATAATTTAGATCAAGACATTTAACTTGTAGAGAATAAGGCTAATGTTTATCAATGTTCATTGCTCAGCGAATGCTAGGGTCAGAACAGGTTAGATTTGACACGTTTGTTATTAACAAATGTTTGATTCTGTTGAAACTCCTCATCACTCTCACTTAGTGGAGTCTCTGTGTCCGCAGTTGCGTCAGTGGCTCTTCCAACTTTTATTACTGGGCTGAAACAAGGGAGAGGCCAAACAGTCTAAATAATATTGTAAAATTGACTGGTGCTTTCACCTATTACTTTTGTGTATTCCCAGATCACACAAAACATAACAATAAAACTGACTTGATTAAATTGTTGAGCTGTACTTGACAAATAACAGGAACACACTAGGAAGTGAGGATGAATAACGATGGCTAGGAGGAAAATGGTTTGCAATATGGAGGCAACAAATGATAGCTGGGTAACAGGAAACCCAGTAATAATGGTTTGATTTTCTAGACCAATATGGTAGAAATGGTGCAACCGCATTAGGAAGTGAAGGTGACTAATGATGACGAGGATGGAAATGAATTACTAGCACAGAATTGCGACTTGAGAATGAGACATTTCTTTAAGGAGGTTGACAGTAAGAGTTTGGATATTGTCCAACATTTAAGCAAAAAAAATATTTTCAACAACCTAACACTATCACCACTAGTCTACTGACAATACAATACCTTTCTGGGATAACATTTGGATCTCCAGATTTGTCCTCTTGAAATTCCTAATAATGAGGAAAATTGTAATGTGAAAACATTGAAGGGGCATAGCCAGGATAAAACATGGTAAAAATTTTAACACAATTTCTCGCTGAAACAATTAAAAAATTACAGCTTTGACTGCCTGCACTACAGTCTTTGATTGGTAAAATGTGAATGACATGAAACGAAGAAAAAGAAAAAATTTGAATACAAATGTGTGAAATTGCCAAATAATAAAAACGGAAATTATGAATGTTTGTCAATAAGAATGTCATATGTATTGTCCAGGACTTTTTGTATTCAAATTTTTTCTTTTTCTTTGTTTATTGTCATTCACATTTTACCCATCGAAGACAGGGTAAGGCAGTCAAAAGCTTGTAATTTTGAAATCGTTTCAGCCAGAGATTGTTTTAAAATTCTTACCAAAATTGTAATGGTTATATAGGTACTCTGTGAAGTCTGACTTCAAGCCCAAATGGCTTACCAGGGAATTGATTAAATCTGCTTTTAGTGGCATCAAGATACCAGGTGTATTATCATCCCCTCCCCTGGATGGGATGATAGTCCATTGCAGAGTTATCCCAGACAGCTTGCAGTCAGCTTTTTCTCTTAGGAACCGACAATCATTTATCCTTGCAAATGTGAGTGCAAAAAGGCAGTATATGTGAGAAGAGGTTGGGATGAGACTTTTCCTCATGTGCATGCTGCATCCTTGTTTTGTCCTGATCCGTTCTCATCCTAAAACCCTCTCTCTGCACTCCCTGCCTGAACCACTGGTAGTTTTGTAGAGAGAAGGCACTGTGAGAGTCAACTGTTTTGTCCAAGAATAGTTAATTATGCAAAGTGTTACAGAGAATGATAAGTTACCCAGTCATCATCCTCCAGGCCAAGTGAAGGAGTGTTCTCATCTTCTTCTTCCAATGAAGCTAGACTAGGAGACAATGGTGGCTCAGGAATAACAGATGAAGTCTTGCACTGCTCATGTTGTGAGGAACCATGGTCACTTTCCCTGAAGAAAGGTAGATACGTTTCAACAGTCGCCTCTGACTTCTCTGTACTTTCATTCTTTTCCTGGTCATCACTGTGTTTTGGATCACCACTTTCATTATTCTCTGATTTTTTAAAATCTTCCTCAGCAGTATCAACCTTTTTCCTATCCAAGCTTTCACTCACTGCAATCAACAAAAAGTAAATACTTAAGCTAAAACAAAGCTCCAATAACTGGAACGTCACTACAAAAAATTTTATTTCACACTGGTGGTCTAATGGATAGAACATCACCCTTAACACTCATCCTTGGGGTGTGTTCTTAAGCATGAGGTGTTCTTGTTATTTGCCCAAGCAAATATTGCAAGCCTAGGGCAGTCTGACAAAGCTGCAGAGGGAGAGAGAAGGGGTCTAGCTGGTGATAGACTTGTCATCCAGGGAAAGATTAGCAATATTCTAGAAAGTTCATGGGTCTCTGATGATACCACAGGACCCTGTCATTCTAGAACTGAAAGAGACTGTTCCACCTTTAGTTACTCACACAACAAATTAATGTTAGGGAGGCATGGTGGCCTCATGGTTAGTGCGCTCATCTCCGGATCGAGCGGTCCGGGTTCGAGCCCTGGCNGGGGGAGTAGAAATACTCCTAGTCGCTTCATGCTACAGAAACCGGGATAAGCTCTGGCCTGATGGGCCACTTGGCTCACATGCAGACTTTACCTTACCTTACAGAGTACACAATACCTTTGATTCTAAAATTACCTTTGGTTGTAATGTAATAAAGAAAATGTTTTCAAATAATTGACTGCTGTGCTTACAACACACACAATTCATAAAACAGAAGCAAATAACTTTGTACTGGCCTGAGGTCTTTGCAGCAGATTTCTTTCTTTTGCCTCGCTGTCTCTTTTGTATGTCAGCTATTAGTTTGTTGAAATCATCTTGATGTTCATTCACTAAATAAAGACACATAGTTATACTGTTGAAAGGAAATATTCATGAATGACATTCAAACCTGAACAGTACTACTCAATCACAGAGGCTGAATGATTAATGCCCTGGGTTCCAGAGGATCCAGCATCAAGTCTGGCCCAGGTTCTCATGCTCTGTTCTTGCACAAGGTGCTCCTGTATCCCCAAGCATATAACTAAGTATTGAGGGTTGCTTCAAAGACAGCCTTCAAAAACTCAAAAAGACTTGCAATGGACTAGCCCAGTAACAATGATTTTAAGCCAGCCCACAAAATCATGAAGCAAATAACATTTTTAACACACAAGGGTAGGAGTCAGGGTTCTAGTGTCTTGAGGATATTTAGGCCTTATGGACTTCGTCTAAAGATCATTTTGTCAAAGTTAGTCTTTGTGTGAAGCCATTCATCCATCTACCACTGCATGAGCTGTCCCACCCACCCATCCTAAGATGGGAATTGACTTTTATCTTCCATTAGCGATAATTATTTTGCTCTCCTCCCATTGCTACACTTGCAGGAGCATCCCTAGGTTCTAAAAGTGCGTAACGCAAAGTTCTTTAAAACAAGTAGGTTAAACTTACAGTATTTTTGTCGGGTTTTGTCCATATCTTCTTCACTTTGGTCTTTCTCAAAATGAAGACCCTGTGTAATTAAATGAAATTATAAATAGAGAAAGAACAATCAATTACTAGGAGATCAAATTTCAAAATAATATAGCAATTAGACGTGGTCACATTACCCTTGGAATCTCTCAGTATACTTAGAGTATGCTCTACTTTCTATAAGAATAAGTTGTTAATTTGATTACATACTGATGTTGATGCTTCTGAAGTAGAAGATGCTTCTTTGGCTCTTGTCTTCTCTGCTTTCTCGACCTCTCTCGCAATTTGAGCAGCTGTGAAAAAATATTATTTTACATGTTAGTTTGATGCGTTTAGTATGGGCACAAGCAACTTCAGTTTCAATCAATTTTAGGTTTTGAGCGATGAAAATGGCTCATTATCATTCAAGTCCAGTTGATACATTTATCACCTGAAAATTGCGGAAATTGCACCTAAGAAGCTTTGCTTCAAAATTTTCTGGGGGACATGCAACTGGTCAGACCTCCCTAACCGGAGTGGACGGCCACTCACAGAATCCTAGCTAAAAGCATGGTCTTCGTATTGACTTAATTTTAAGAAGGACTGTTAAATACATCAATACAATTTACCTGTCATAGGTGTTGGTGAATCACATTGTGCATTGTAAAGCATCACAAAATCTTGATGCCTTTTAACAAGGGTCTGAAAAAAATAGACAAAACATGATTCATAGATTCAGATATTTTTCCAGCTAAAGAATCCATGGAAAAATGGCCCATTGCCTGCTGTAAAAAAAAGCTTAATAATCAAATCAGTAAAGGAAAAGTTTTTGGGCTTGTCTACTCACAGATTTATCTCCTTTGGTTGACAAATTCCATTCCTTCAGTCTTTGTCGTAATTCCTTTTCTGCCATTACACTGTAAACAAGTTTAGGGAGGGGCTTTCTTTTCTGTATCGTCCGACTGGAGAAAAAATAATGCCTCATATTGTACAGGGTCTGAAATTAACTTTTTTTGGCAGGCGCCAACTGGCGACTTAAATTTTTTTTTTCAGTCACCATATGGAAAAATGTGGTTGCCAATTTAAGTGTCAATAAAATTTTTCCTTCGCAGCGAAACACAAAGTTTAAAATTGGTTTAATACTTCAAGAGCCGCGGAAAGGTAAAAAGGAAGTGACCAATTAGCGGGCGGCTTTGAATTTTATTTTAATTGATTTGGCTGAAAATCAAAGTTATTGTTTGTGCAATTATCGTGGCACGAAATAGTTAATCGCCCACTGGCGACCAGGAAAGCGCAATTTCGGACCCTGTTGTACAGACAGTGTATTACCCCTAATAGTAACTAATATTTTAAATATTTCTCTTTAAACAGTACAGGTGAAGTCTCGTAGCCCATCAGAACTGCTCTTATGAACAGTTTCAATAACGTTAAGTGACTACATATATATCATTCTACTCCCTCTTGGATATGATGTTAGTCCGGCTGTTAGTCCACTACAGAGGTACCCCCGGCTTTTAATTTGCAAGTACCCATTTATACTGTCACTTGAGTGGAGAACAGAGCACAGTGAGGTCAAGCATCTTATCTAAGAACAACACATAGTGACCCCACCCCAGCCAGGGCTTGAATCTAGGCACCTCGATCCAGAGTCTATTAGGGCACCAACCCTCATAACCTTTTAGACTTTGCAGTATCAATATCACTAAGGAAAAAGGCTAAAAATAGACACACAAAGAAAACTCCAAAGTCTACCAAATAGCCAGTCTTTTGACAAAATGCACAATTCTCCAAATAATATTAAACAAAAATCCATGGGCAATGATAGGGAAACTTCATATTTTCAATCTTGGGACTTACATAAGTGCATTGGAGCCTTTAATTGTCAAGGTAGATGAACTTGCTGTTGAAGAACAAGCTTCTTGAATCACAGAACAGGAAGCTGAGTCATCACTTGATCCAGGAGGAGATTCTTGAAATTCTGCATCAGATGGACATTTTCTTTTACTTGATTTACTAGTCTTTGACTCACTGGCTTTCTTCCTGCTTTCAGATAAAAAGAAATTTTAAAAGAAAGGTTACAAAATTAATGTTTGTATTGTTCAGACTATGCTGCATTCACAAGTTATCCTGGTCTCTGAATATTTTGCTAGACTTGCTTGCTGACACAAAGAGGAAGAGCTGGTAAACTTCGAAAGCGAGGTGCTTTTGAGATGACAACACTTCAAGGCTGTACATAACATTGCAACCAAAGCTAATTCAGTTTATTATAAGGCAAGGTAGTCTTGAGGAAAATCCAAGTGTTCTGATTGGTTCTTTCTTGGTCAGGATTTTGCCATACAGGCCATCATAAGCTGTGTATATCGATGTAATTCTGAAAGCCAGCATATTCAAAACAAGCCTGGCTCAAGTGCCATATAACTACTTACTAACCCAGCTTTCTCAAGCTGTACTGGGGAATATTATCTCTTGGTCATTTTTTAACGGACCTTGCTGCACTTTGTCCATACTGCCACTTTCTTAGGCCAATATTCCCCAGTACGGCCCTCAAGCTCAGTCAGTAAGAGGCTAATATTATTTTTATTTTCTTTGTACCTTCGTAAAGAACTTTTCTTTTCTGTTCTTGTGAGGCAGGCATCAAGATGTGAATTTATTTTTCTGTGTGGAACCATGTCACCACAAACTGGACACTCAGCTGAGAGAAAAAATAATGAATTAAACTTCTAGCCTCAACTTATTTTAAAACAGGTTTTTGACTTACTGTAATTTAATTTCAGATTATTTCTTTACAAATTAACAACATAATATTGAAATCAGTCACTGGTTCCCAGAAAAAAACCTTACATTCACCAACAATCCATTGAAATATGGCTAATACTGTACTATCATCAGGGCTAGATTGTTCAAAAGCCAGTTAATGCTAACCCAGGATTAAAAGTGAACTGAAGTATTCATTTTTCTTGTAAAAAATGTTTTTTCGCTGCTTGTGTTTTGTGTAGTTTGAGATTACTGACCCTCAGAACTGAAGGACAAACAACATAAACAGAAGTTTAACCTCATGGAAAAGTTGTAACAACAACATCATTTATTTACACCAAAGAAAGGAAAGAGGAAAACATAAATTTTGAAGCTTATAAATAAGGTATTAGCTGCCTATGACAACCCTATGGCTAAAAAAATTATGCAGCTATCTATAGGATAAATTATTTAAAAAAAATGAAATTCTCAATGAACTTGGGTTAGCTTAATTGGGCTCAGAACAACCCGGCCCAGGTGAACACTTACCAAAGTCTGCATCTGAAGGTTGTGCTGGGGTTTCATTTTCAGATCTGCATTCATCCACGGCTGTTGGCTGTAATTCTGATTGTTGTTGCTCCTGCTGATTTTCCTCCTCATCAACAACAGCGACTTCAGGTTCTGCTGTACTAACAGGGTTTTCTAATTCATCATTCAATGTCACCTCCACAGGATTTGAAACTTGCTCATTCTCTGCATCAAGCCTCTGTCTCTTTGTGTCTGGACTTGAAGACTTTGAGTCATTTTGAGGTGTTGATTGAGCCTATAAAATAAAATCAATCACATCAAGTAGTACAGGAAAGTTTGCATTCAAGCCAGGTGGCCAAAATAGCTTCCGACTCTTGATAAGATCTGGGATGTGCCAGAGCTCCAGCACGTATTCTGTTGTGAATTACCAGCTATACCGGTAATCACTATCAATGATAAAAACCTTCAAAAATTGGCGTATATGGGAAAGTTGTTATCTTAGTGCTCTCTGATGGTTACTGCACTAGGGGTCTGCCTAGTTCGAATTTTATTGAAAGCAATGATGGCTGGTGCTTAAATCTGGTTTCCAACACATGAAGTGACTGGAAGTATTTCTACTCCCAGGCTCTGGATGGGATGCTGGTCCACTGCAGAGTTACACAAAGATTCAAATTTGCGGCACACATTTATACACATAGGTGGAGAGAATAGAATAGTCAAGAACACAATGCAGTGATCCCAAGCAGGGATCGATCCGGAGTCCAACACACTAACCATTATACCGCTGTGCCTTCCACACTTCATAGGAGATTATAATTTCATAAAAGTGGGTAATCCCTTATCCAGAAAAGTATTGGAAATCCAATGTTTCAGTAAAGAAAAATTGCAGGAAAAAAGAACTATTTTTAAAACATTTTCTTGGACTGCCACACATCAGATTGTCACTGTATAAACTAGAAGTTGAAAAGTGAGAAAAAACAAAACAAAACAAAACAAAACAAAAAACAACAGCATTACCTTTCTTCTTCTTGTGTGGGCAGTACTGCTTCTTTTATTCTTTGTTTCACCTCTCTTTTTAGCATCATCTTTTAAACTTGTTTTCTGGGCATTGGTTGTTGCTAATTCTAACAGCTTTGTTCTATGACAATAAAAAAATAATAATACAGTTTAAAATCCAGCACAGTAATGTATACACATCAGGTACAGGATTCAGAAAACAAGGGAGTTCACACAGGGTAAATTACAGGTGTTGACAATCTTATATAAATAGTTTGAAACAGCACCAATATCCTAGAAAAATACAGTTTCTCCAAAAAAATCAGTAATTTTCCTTTCTTGAGGGTTCAAGACTCTTTGATTTAACATTATTGCCATACCTTTAAAACTTACTGTTAACTCCTTGCCTACTTGATTTTTATAAAACATGAGATGAGAGAGAAGGTGATTGTAACCTCCAGATCAAACTATTTTTCTGATTTGTGTAGAACACATCTGGACCAAATTTGACTGGAATACAGGACTCACTTGTAGCACAATTATCAAGAAGTGATGTCTCATTGTTAATCTAATTTGCATCATTGATATAGCACACTTCATGAACTTAAAATAGACAGATTGCCCAAGGTGAAATAAAGAGGCTAGAAAGTAGGCAAGCAAATAACCAAACCCGAAAAAATGCTTTTCTTATCACCAAAAACTGAAAACCAAATACTAAGGGGTAAAAAATGAAAGCTGCAACAGAAACCAAAACCAAAAAACAGTATATTTTAAAAGCAAAACTGAAAAAACTGATCTAAAAACACTTGACCAAAACCATAAAACGAAAACCCCCAATTTCCCCCCATGACCCATCAACTATGATATTGTATTACCAAGCTAAACAAAAAATATCACTTAACATAGAGGAGTGGAATACCTGACTTTGATGAAGTTCTTAACTAATTCGTCTAATACTCTGTTGGTTTTTAAACTTGGTGGACTAACTTTCTATGAGAAAACAGAAAATTATTAGCATTTTGTTATAAAATGGTCTTGCATTAACTCACTCTCGTGATCAGCTGATATGAGCTCTATCTAAACCTCAAAATATTAATCCTTTTTACTAATCAGTATACATTTCTTTTAATGTCAGCTCTGAGAATTCGGTTATACATCCAGGGCTTGAAAAAAGTGCCGTTCCATTATCCTGTACAAGTAGATTTTCCTTCTGGGAAAGTAACTTTTCATTCTCACTTGTCCGACGGCCAAGGGATTAGACAAGTCATCTGATAACAAATCATTAAAAGAACAAACTAAGACTTGCCCAGGGCAAGCAATAGTCAGGAATTTAACTTATTCTCAAGCCCTGACATCAGGATGGTATTCCCTTATTTACTTAATTCTCTCCTTATCAGAAGCTGTCTAAGGCATTAACATGTTAAAAAGGAAAAAAAAGAGAGACCCTCAAACACTTACCGAGGAACATGTGGGACACTGTGGTTCATAGCTAAGGGATCTTCGGATACACAATGAGCAATCTGAAAATTGTAATAAACATCAAATTTTAAGCTCTCCTATTGACCTCTCTGATCAAAACTCTCATAATTAACTACTTCTCTTCAGTAACCACTTGTCAAGGTTATACCAAATTTCTTCCACACTGCAAAGTCCCAGCAGTAGAAAAAGTGTTGTTGCCCAAAACATCCATACCCAATTCCATGAAAGGTTTTCTACTTCCACAAACCCACCCCAATTCCTCTCTACTAGCGACAAAACTTTTCTGGGAAAGTAATAAATTATTATTAGTTTCCCAGAAAAATAGTTTCTTTGCGTTATTTCTTAGGATGGGCTGATACCGTTTTTTCAAATCGATACGATACCAAGAATGATACTGACTTTTTCCTTCGATATCGATATCCATACCGATACTGTGACGCGATTGAGTTAAGTGGTAAATCACATAATCTGGTTGACCAAGTACAAGGTTGTCTCGCACTGATAATGTTGATTGTTGTTCAGTACTTTCTTGTTGAATCAACAACACAGATAAACAAGTCAAAGATTTCAGTCTATTAACGAAAACATAGTCCTACTCAATAACACAATGGTGATGACCAGAAGAATGCAGGCTGAGGAGACAAAGTGAGGACAGGTCAGGTGCAGTATTGAAAGCATTGAAACTTCTCGCTGGTATCGTTTTTTTTTTTTTTTTCCGATCCGGCCTTGGTATCGCCGGTATCGAATATTTGATATCGGTATCTGCCCATCCTTATTTCAAAACAATAACAATGGAAAGTATATTGAGACACTATTTATAATTTAAGCCTATGAATGGGGTCTCGTATACATAAAAATGTTATCAACCCAACAGTAATAAAATAAGAACTTGTAGGACTTGCTTCAAGCTGAGATTCCATAGGAACAACTGACGCAATTCAGTTAAATCTCCGTTCCAAACTCCACATGATAACGAAACATTCTGTCTTGGGAGGATAACATTTCTGTCCGTTTCCGAGACATTATTAAATAAAATGAACTTACAATTATGAGAACACTCTGGAATTATCATTGCAACATCAAAGAATTCGTAGCAAATAGAGCATCTGAGTAGATTGTCGATCGTCTAAAAAATTAAAATTTTAAACACAGAAATTATTAAAATTTCACGCAGGATATGGTCGATATAAGCTTATCTATAAACAAATTACCCTCATTTCTGGTAGTGACTCTGGCCAGTCTGAAGGACTCCACTCAGCCAACTTAGCAGAGGAAGTTTTCATATCCACAAAAGACAACATACTGGCGAGATTACTGCACAAAACGACAAGAAATGTAAGAGAAATTCATCAGCAAAACTGTCGCCATATTGGAATCAAAGAAATTGGCGCGAGAATACTTGTATTTTGATTGGCTGAAGACATCATTACCCATCACACAGCGCTGTCTTTGTTACGCTTTCTATTAGACGTCGTGATTGGCTGTAACTAATAAGCCAATAAGAGACCGAAATAAAACTCACTTGCAACGATTGCGTCACAACTGCATAAAAACGTGCGTGAAACAAGATGGAGGAATATGCGAGAGAGCCCTGGTAATTTTACGTTTCCTTGCCGTTTAAATTAGCTGGATCTCTTAAAACTAGGTATTTTTTAAAGCTGCAATAACTGATTTCTGTTCATGGATTTTTTCCAAGTCCTTACCGCATTGTGGATGATTGTGGAGGAGCGTTCGCAATGGGCGCGATCGGTGGTGGAATCTTTTCCTTCGTGAAAGGATGGAGAAATTCGCCGGCTGTAAGTTTCATTTTGCTTGCTTTTGCCGTTTTGTAGAATAACCTGTGATACTTAAGGCCGTTTAAAACCATAGGAATGTTATACGGCAGATCGTTAATGAAATATTTCAGTTCAACTGTATAAGATGTCAGTGGCATAATTTTCATCGTAGTTAGTGACCAACTTCCACGATTTAAAGTACGCTGAAAATGTACTGAGTTTTTGTGGGAGAAGTTAATGCACTTATTTACGCACTGTTCTGGGTTTGCATTCCTTAAATCTCAACAATCACTCATCCTGGTAACCGGGTGTACTGCTGGACTCTTATCAATGCTCACTTACATGTACAGTCTATGTAGGTGCATTTGATTGGTTGGCTAATATGAGGTCTGATAATAAGTGGTATTTCTTATAGGGACAAAGACTCTATGGTAGTATAGGAGCAGTTAAAACAAGGGCTCCTGTTCTTGGAGGTAAGTGTTTCTGTTTTATCCTTTAACCATTCTCTCAAAGTTGACAAAAAGGCAGGATTGGATTCTGTTGGCAGGGTTGTCATTTAGTTTTGACTCACCTGTTGTCTTGATCTTCATATCCTTAACAAAGTTGTTACTTTGTAGGTGAATTATATCAACAGCAGATAAGTTTACACATATCATCGAAGCCCTGTCAGCTGTAACAGGTGTTTTGTGTTAAGGCCCTAAATGACAACCCTGGTCATCAACTGTTGCATAACAAAACATTTCCTGGTAGATTACATTCCTGTGATATAGTCAAGATCTCAGCAAGTGTTTTCATCTAATTTGCTGCTTATTTCTTCAGATATCATATATCTTGTGTATTGTTTATTGTTTATATCAACTTACTGAACCTGTGTCGTAATCACATGGGTGTTATTGCCAAAGGAACCTCTAATCAATAATATACATGTAGTCTGCACTAGAAACGTTCTCAACTTTCCTCACCTGGAGGTGTTAAACTTACACAGTTTTGTTGCATGGTCCTTCTTAGCTTATTATCAGGTGCCTTTAATGTGGTTATCTGTTACTGCAGGTAATTTTGCTGTGTGGGGAGGTTTATTTTCTACTTTCGACTGCTGTCTGATGGGATTAAGAGGTAAAGAGGATCCATGGAACTCAATTGGAAGTGGCGCCATCACAGGGGCTGTGCTAGCCGCAAGAGGTAATGTGTTGATCATATAATTGTGTAACATCTATGAAAGTAATCACAACACTATGAAGTGGAGCAAACCAATAGTTTCTAGTCTTAGTCATGTTGTTGGCCTGTGCTCCTGGACAAGGCAATTTTCTCTTAGAGTGCCTCTCTCCAACTAAATTGGTACATGCACTTGCAATATTTTAGACAATGTAACAAAATGCTGAGGGATAACCCTTAATGAACTTGCATCAAGTCCAACAGGAGAAGTATGCTGTAGCACTCCTTGTCACACTATGAAGTGAAGTGTTGTCCCAAGGAGTCACTATATTCCCAAACATGACAAGATACGTTTCTCACCATCTGTAGGTGGACCCTCAGCAGCTGTTAGATCAGCGGCAGTAGGAGCCATCTTGTTGGCATTAATTGAAGGAGTAGGAATCTGTATCACAAGAATGACAGCTGAACAGTTTAAACCAGGTTTGTGTTTATCTTTACTAAATGTCCAGTTTCACACTTCTGTCAAGACTATAAATGTACATTTGTGCCTGTCAAATCAACCTTCACCTTCACTTATCTCTTTTATGACTAGTGTGGCATAAGGTCTCTTTACATATAAAGTAGACACTTGAAGGAGGTCTGAGAGGAAGTGCCCTCACCTGGAGATTGATTGTTTTGAATAATCTTGATTACTTTTCTTCCTTTGTCTTTCAGTGATGCCTCAACCTCCGGACCCTGCTCAACTGCCACCCAAACCATTCAACCCAACGCCACAGTCAACACAAGCTGGATCAGAATTTGATTATCAACCACAATATCAGTAACATAGGAAGGCACCAAAATCATATTTAGGCATTGTTTTCAAGGGAATTTTATTCACGACTCTTCAATATCTTCACCAGGAGCCTTCAAGTGACATTGCCTCTAAAGAACTAGTTGAAAATGCAGTGACGTAATGGAACATAATTACATGCAAGTGATTTGCCTTATCAAGGAGACTAAGTTGAAATGGTTTGAAAGAGCATTTCACTGGGCAGAGCACATCTGCCTTTACTGTCACCTGCATTTTCAGGATTGTGTTTGATTGCTGCTGTTTAAAGACTATACATGTTCAAACTTTTTGTTTCAAGTTTTCAGCAGCACAAGGTGTTAAGGGAGACAGGGTATTGTTAATCAGTACCCGTCTTGTAAATAGGTAAGTTGACACTACAAACAAGTTTGTCGAAACATGGACATGGTAAAGAGATCAGTTGCTATAGTTGACAACAGAGTGCCGAGTCTTTGAAACCTTTTTGTAGCAAGCCATACTCTTCCAATTTGCTTTAAGTTTTGAGCCAATTACACTGTGTTGTATTGTAATTAAATTATGTTTTAATTGAAATAGCAATTACACAATAATTTAGAAAAATAAAGTTATATTTAAAAGGGTCTTTGTAAATAAGTAGTCTGGTGTTTCTTAATAATTGAGTGTTTATTAATTTTCTGCTGATGCCCAGAGGAGGTTAAATGAAATGATGCAATTTTTGTCGTACAATGTATGGTGGAACCCTGAAAAAAATGAACCCCTATCCAATGAAGTCTGTGGTTCAACAGTTTCATTTAGCCTGATCAAAGTTAAGTACTACCAGTGAAGTGTCTGGACCAGACCCCTATTGCAACAAACACCTGCGATATTAAACACTTTTTCCTACTTGCTCAGCTCTTCATTATACTGGGGTTCCACTGTACTGTATGCTGTATGTGTAATGATTTGATAAAGTCCCAGTAGTGCCATGTAAATTCTGGCAGATTGAAGGAGAGTCCTTGCTGAGATGTTGACCTTGTTTCAATTATGTGCAAGCAGTTTTTGAAGTACATGTACCAACAATGCAATCTAGAATCCCACATCAACCTTATTCAAGCTGTACAAAAAACTCTAGGCTCGATTACCACAGGGTTCGTACGGGTCCTTGAAAACCTGGAAAGTCCTGGAATTTTATCGTGGCATTTTCCAGGAATGGAAAGTCCTGGAAGAGGGCTACTGGTCCTGGAAAGTTTTGGAAATCTGTCAATCTAAAGTAAAAAAATATGAAATGTATGGCAGACAGTAAGGAGAATTAATGTTAAGATCTTGGGAGTGAAAGGGTTAATATGAATTTTAGAGTCCTGGAAAAGTCCTGGAAATTTGTTTCTGAAAAAGGGTACGAACCCTGTTACCAGATGCTCCCTCTTCTCAGGGAGGCACATGGACCCAAGAGCGGCAGAAATCAAGCCTAGAAAAACTCCAGTGTAGCATGAATTGAAATTTCCTGGAATCTCTGATCAGCCAAACCAATACCCAAACTGCTGACATACCGTTGGTAGGCTCTGTTTTTCAACTTGATGTATTGATTTGAGATTGAATGGATGATTACTCAATAATCACTTTATAACAATACCTAACTGTTACGCAGTCACTTGCTGCGCCGTAACACCCTGTGTTAAAGCATGTTTCATTAGTCACTAACTTGGGATGAATCACCAGTAAACTTGCAATGATTTGTCACCAAAGTAAAAAATTTGTGTCCATTTGTGTGACTTTCAGAGACTTCGGGTACGTTTCTTTAAGAAAATCCATGATTGGATTCTTAAATCTGAAAGAATCCGAAAAACGGATTTTGCATTTCTTTAATAAACAGATCAATCCAACATCTCTCTGATCATGGTGCATCAAAGGAACCAATGAATCCACTCTGAAATCCGTTCTCAGATTCTTTCAGATTTAAGAATCCAATCTTGGATTTTCTCACAGAAACGCTTACAGAAACACACCCTTTGTCAACTGATGGAAATGCAAAGGTTTGCTGGTAATCACTGGATGTTAACTGATGAATCACTATAATGTTAGATAATTAATGAAACAAATTTTGAAACCAACTGTTGTTGTTTAGATGCAACAAACTGTCCTGTATGTCTTGCAAATTACTATCTAGTCTCTAAGTTAATAATTTCTAACGAAAATAATCTTGATTATGAATGCACATGTGACATACTTTGTATTATTTTACATAACTATTTTCACTAGTTGTCATACAACCCATCTATCTTGTTTTTATTAAAACTTTTCCAGTCGACTTTCTCTGCATCACAAACTTGAAAGCTTCATTTGCCTGAAGGGATAAATCAAATGGAAGCAAGTCTCATTGTTGCAAAATAAATTACAGATGAAATATAACAAACTAAAAAACAAAATGTATTTTCTGTTTCATTATTGAACTCTTTCAATAATTAAAAGTGGTATAAAAATACTTTCTATTCTTTGGTAGAATGTGGCAGTAGAGATAGATGTCTTTTAGAAATGTGTAGTTCCAGAAAATATTCATACCTCCCCATCCACCAACCCTCCGGAAATTCCAATAATTTTTTAAATGTTTTAATTTTAGAGAACTCCCCCTCCCCACCCCCCAAGAAATTCCAATCCCTTCTGTGGAGGGAATATGGATATTTTCTGGAACTAAACCATGAGGCCTTTATAATCAAATTTATGTCATGTAGCTCTTCTAGGCAGGCAATCTTTCGGCTTATCATGCAGTCTGTCCTCGATGAGCCCAAAGAGATTCTGTGTTGGAGGTTATTTAGGTCTTACACTGATTGTCTTAAGTCTATCTCTGCAAACAACAGCTGTAAGTACCTGGTCTAGTTCAAATTCTCCAGAAATATGTGGTCCTTTGAGCTTTCCCTGCACAAGTAACTCCAAAGATTTATCTACAGACTCTTTCAGAAGTGCTGGGTTGTGCTTCATGTGGGATCCCTAATGAAAGTACAAGGAAAAAGATTGCTGCAAATTATTGATATTGAATGGTGTAAAGAACAGTAAGTTTATTAACAAAAATTAATTTTTTTAATATAATGTTTAAATGACTATAAGCACATACATGTATGGAAAATAAAGTCTTTACAATAAGCAGTACTTACCCAAAACAAACCGGCTGTAAAAACAAAGAAAGAAAAAACAAACACTCAGCTGGTTACAAAATATAGATCTTGCAGATTATGTTGCAACTTAATAAGCCATCAAATGTATCAATTCTAGAAAAAGACCTGATCAGTCCAGGTATTAAGACTGAAAAGGTTCCTTAAATAAAGGTCTGCAATGCATACATATTGTGTCTACTATATATTTTGATATATAACCTTTTACATAATTGAGATGAGTAAATACAACTTACCAGCTGAACAGTTTTTCACCAAGAGAACATTTGCTGGGATCTGAAAAATTATTCAACAATATTCAGAACTGCAAGCCATCATGAGCAAATTTCTTTTCATATTATCATATTATTACGTGGCAGAGCCCCCTTCAAACTTCAATTTTCTAAATAAAGCCTCAGAACAGACAATTGGATTGCAAGTTTCTTCTTAGTGAGTGTGAGTGCATTATAATGATGATGATGCAGCCAATGATCACTGGTATGTTGTCATAAATAGAAATTTTATTATTAGTCTGTGGTGTAAATTTTCTCCATCTTTCATCATTGGACCATATGCTAGCTAAATTCATCTCTAGATACATGTACCTGTGGAATATCTCCTGAAGCAAAGCCAACTGGAAGAATGACTCCTCCCCATGCAATGCTAGATAAGAAGAAAAAGTCACAAATTATAAATTATTAGTAACAACATGTCAGTAAAGCTAAAACTAACATTCATTTCACTTGACTGTTTGGAGGCTCAAATAAGTCTTCATGGGTTATGATGTCAGTGCATGGTTTGGTGTATCACGACCTGAACCAAAAAAAAAAAAAGAATCTCTCTTCGAAAGGCTCACTTCCATTATTGTTAGAGAAACATCAGAGAATCATAACAAACATTACATACATACAGCCTATACCCATTTTAAGAGATCTGTTTGCCTCTGACAGCCTGACTGATGGACAGACTAGAAATGGACTGACTGATTGATGGCAGGATGGACAAATGGACAGACACACTTGATTGTTACTCTAAGTGCTCCATATGGCAAAACTGTGAAAGATTTTAATTTTGATACCTTACCATCTCAGACACTCAGTAAAAACCTGTCCTCCAACAGCTTCCATGATCACATTTGCCCCTTTCCCTCCTGTTAGTTCTTTGACCTGGTACAGAGAATATTAATAACAATACCAAAATGTTTGATCATATTTGCCAGTAATTAAATTTTGCACTCTAGCTAACTGTAGTGACGCCCAGGGAATAAAGGATAAAAGAGTCAAGAAGACATAAAGGATTGTTGGCCTACGGACTTCAGACTTTAAAACACATCTCAGAAGGAAATTTTTGGGGGGAGGATATTTTTTTGGTTTTTAAGCTTAAGGACGTTCATGCTAATTGTTTCTGCGCATCCTTATTGCACATACAATTTCACATGCCATGTCATGCATCGAGCGCGCACTAAGTAATAAAACAAACAATGATAGCGCAGATGGCCATAATTTGCTATAGCTTCGCCTTAAATTAATGATCTTGGATGTTCGATGACCCCTATTTTTCTTTTGATGGATCATTTTCTCTACTGATTTTCTACATTTAGTGAAAAAATGAAGAAAATCTATCCATTAGAAGTTTGAATTTTTTGCAACATGCACCACTGAATTCCATTCTTTTTGGCTCTTTTAGCTCAAAATCAGGGTAGTTTTCTACACGCTTTATTATCATGGCTGCCAATTTTTTTTCATTTCCGATACAAGGAACTCATTATCTGACTGCAGTAAAAATCTTAAAAAATCTGTCGACTGGAAAATTTTTGTGCACATGTCCTTGTTTTTTTAGGGGGATAGTAAGGGCATTGAAAAAGGTATGGAATATTGGGAGTATATTCTACAAGTAATTCTCGTGCTGCTGACATTTCCCCCCACCCCCGGCAGAATTATCCCTCCCTGCTTCCCCAGGAAGTGATTACTGTAATGCTGTCCAACTTCTCACCACTGAGAATAAAGTACTTTTAAACTGAACCAGTTCAGCTAGTTAAGCAGAAGTCAGGCAGTTATGAGAATTCTTACATCCACCCAGAGCTAAAAAGCTTTTATAAATAATACATAAGTGTATAATACCTTGTCTTTTATACTCTCCTTGTTATAGTCAATTGTAGCTGAGGCTCCCATACTTGTAACAACATCAAGTTTGTCCTTGCTTGCAGCTCCGATAACCTCAAAGAGAACAACACTTTTCATGAGTAGATTGTAATCAATGTCTGGGCTCAGACTGCCTATGAAAAGGGATCTCTTCATGCACTCTGAACTGTGACTGTGACTCCTCAATCTACAGTAATACGTCCTTCCCATTACACCAGCCATACCTGTCACAATTTTTCTTTGTCAAAAGTTTGATAGACCAGGAAACAAATGAAGAACCATCAGCTGATGATTGTTTTGTGTTCCCATGGCATCTTCGAAAATTTTACAACAGAATAATGCAAGGGAAAGATTAATTAATTTTTAGCTTTTAGTGAGGGTCATCTCCACCTTACATACATGTACCTTGGCTCCCAGTGCATTGGCTGCGATGTCAACAGTGGCTAAGCCCAGAGCTCCTGCTGCCGCTGTGACTAAAACTGTTTGGCTAGAATGATAACAAAAAATTACAATATTATTCTTTTCACAGAAAACAAGTGAAAAAAAAACTCTTTTCAACAGGAGCTACAAATTAAAACTTGATAACCAAATAATCATTTTGTGGTTGGTTTCAAAATACAGTGAAATCTTTATTTTTCAAACCTACAAGGGAAACAAAAATTGGTTAAAAAATCAACTCAGACAAGTAGTTTGAGAAATCTGGGGTAAACTATTATTACAGAGTTTGACCGAGGAGAGGAAAGCTACTTTGGTTTGAGTTATCTGGAGTTTCAAAAAAATCAAGAGTTTGAGAAATCGGAATTCCACTGTAGCTTAAACCAACCATGTTTACCCAGGCTGTGTATTGGACTTGTTGGTCAGGCCTACATATGCTGTGCCATAAGAAACTGCAAATGCAGAAGCCTGATTGTACTCGATATTGGACGGAATCTTCCACAGACCCTGTAGACAACAAAAAGTCATTGTCATTAAACTAACACACAAAGAAAAGGCCATAACATTCTGATTTGTTTCCTATACAGATCAAAAGGTTTTATAGAGACTGCTAAGATGGACTGTCTTAAAGCACAAAAAAGTCTAAAACCTCCCTGTTGTATTTGAGAGAATGAACTTGCTTAATTGTCAGCTAAAGTTAAAACATGGTCATTGTACCTGGACTAGTGGGGGAGTTCTATTGCACAAAAATTCTCATCATAATAATTTCAGAACTCACACTCTGTTCAACAATGCATTCTTCAGCAAATCCACCCAGTGCTGCCAGTCCAAATACCCTGTCACCCTGCCAGGAAATCCAAACCAAGAAATGTTACCCCTTTGTTATAGTACAAAGTCAACACTTTAGTCAAAGTAGTCCACATTGAAATTTTCATTTCATAACATGAGAAGGCTCCACCTGGATGGGATGCTCGTATATAACACAGGTCACTCTGGCAACTGGCCTTAGTTACATCTCTGTGAACCATACTGTTAGGTATCCATTTTGGGGTATGGAAGGTGTTTTTGCTAATATTGTAATCACCTTCGACAGCTGCTTTACACCTTCTCCAGTTTCAATCACTACTCCAGCAATTTCGTTACCTACAAACACAGGCAAAACAAATTAAAAAATAGACCTAGCTAGGGAAACAGACAGACAGGGAGAAATGATATATGTCCACAAAGAGACACATTTTCCTCTTTTTCTGGCTAATACTTGCCTGGAGTAAATGGCAATGGTGGTTTTTCTTGATATTTTCCAAGACACATGAGTATGTCAGCAAAGTTAATGCCGCAACTATGAACAGCAACTCTGACCTAAGGTAAGGTAAGGTGATGTTTATTATCTATTAATTTTTTTTTTTTTTTTTTTTTTGCAATGTTCACATGTGGGTTTGAAAATTGGGGAATATCACTTGGATATTCCCCAGGTTTGGCTGGGGAATATTCAATCATGTGAAGCATTTAAACCAATCACGTGCAAGTAAAAATATTTGATAGATTATGTGAAGTGAAGTGAAGTAAAAGACTTTATTTAATATTTTATTTTATTTTATGAGGTTTATTCGACTTCACCTCAGATCTTTTCAACCTGCAGCCTGCAACCAGCAAGATATACCTGCAATTTCTTATTATTTGTGATAGTGGGAAGAATGTGATACATGTATATTTGTGACTGAGGCCCTACTTCGTCGTGAATTATTAGCTTATTGGGAGACATACAAATTCTCTTTACTTGTCTGTATACATTTGCTAATACTAATTGGGAGAATTTGATGACATCCCAGATATCCATATGCAAATTATTGATTAATGAAAACTGTAACGTATGTGTTGGACTTTCAATCAAGCCAAGAATCAAAAACAAAAATCATATCATTAAAAAACACAGCACAACAAGTTCACATCGTGTCTGCTTACCTGGGACGCCTTTAGTTTCTCCACTGCAGGCACCTGTTCTACCACGAGAGGTTTTCCCAGCTCCTTGCACAGGGCAGCACGATACATCCTAGGTCTGCCGAGGGTGGCTTTGGAAGCAAGAAAGTCGCTGTTTCTTGCAGACAATGCACGTGCAACAGGTCTCAAAAGTCGTTCAGGCACTGTTCGAAAAGCCGCCATCTTGGATCGTCGGCTACAGGGTCCAGTCTCTCGCAGGTATATACCGGTCCCTCGGGTCTCCTAGGGACCGAGGGACTCACTAGCGACGCTCTAGAGAGGACAGCCACGACGCAAGCATAAGCGTAAGCATAAGAACATCAAAACCTTGCGTTCTTCTTATGCTTATGCTTATGTCGCAATAGTGTCCAGTGAGGACATGTTGGCATAAGCATAAATATGAGCATAAGCGTAAGACTATCAGCCAATCAGCGAGCACTTTTTGCTTATGTCAACGATGTCCGGCCTCTCTCACTGAACAAAAGCATAAAAAAGAAAAAAGCTTATGCTTATGTCGCGGCTGTCCTCCCTAGCGCATAAGCTTCTTATGCTTATGTTTATGCTTGTGCTTGCGTCGCAAGTGAGGACCGTCCTTCACTGAGGACTGCCCGTTGTGGCCTGGGCCACGCGGTCATTACACACCCATTACACACCCATTAATTGATGACAGTATTTATGTAAGTGGGTGGTGAACGCGCAGAGAACAATGTTTTGAATGTCTTAATTATGATGATGGAAATGTAACAAATTTGAGCTGAGAAACAGGACGTCGTTGATTTCTAGTTTTATCTACCCGTAACGGAACGGATCACGGACAACCACAAGGGCTCCCCTACAGACCACTCTTGCGGACTACACCTTGAATTTCTCTATCAGGATAACAGAATAGACCTTTGATCAATATTTGAGTGGTCAGATCATCGAATGACTTGTGTACCTCGTCCCAAATACTTTTACTTATCAGTAGAGTCATCAGAGCGATGGACAGAATAAACAAAAATAGTATGAGGTCTGGCCAAATTATTTGTAAAACTTCGCTCTCTAGATCTGTCTCCACAGTTAAGTTTGCATGCTAGAATTTATAGCTTACTTATGGCTTACACTCACTTTACGCGCGGTTTTCAGTTGCGTGAAGTATGGAAAAGTGGAGAAATAGTCATTGAGACCACATTTTTCGCGATCAGAATTTACTGACTTACGTTCAAGAGATCACTTTGGCGGAAAACCTTGTATTATGTTTCGGAGATATCCGTAACAATTATTGCAATAATGTAAGTGGCATTATTCCTGGGGCCATTGTGAAACTTGAATTATTAACGCTGTCAGCAACTGTTCACGGAAAGTTTGTTGCGTTCACTAAATAGTTAACTACAACGATCCAAAATTTTAGTTAAACATGAGGAGAATAAGGCCAAACATTGAAAACCAATCGCCATGCCGAAAAGCATCATACTCGAGAGCACAGATCATTAATAATGTATACAAATATGGTCCATGATATGGTTGAGTGATTTTTTTTGTGTAAGATAAGTACAGCGTCGCTTGCAATAATTCATCACAACTACAGTACGGAGACCGACTAAAGGTGTGCTGGAGTTTTCAGTCGGGATATACTATCAGGCTAAAATCTTCACAAGGTAAGCTAGGGTTAATGTACGCTGAGAATTAGTAAAGGTGCACCAAATGTTTTATTGGCCTTAACAACATCCTGTCGACCGAATTCGACCATAACTTCTCCGGGTTCGTTTACCTCCCTTGTTTGACTCGGTCTCGGCTGTTTCTCCTAAGCCGTGAAAGTAAAAAATATCCCAAATCTGTTCAGAAGATATCTAGTAAAATTTGAGTTACAGAGGTACTGAACAAGAAAGAACAGCCTTGCAGCAACCGGCATCGGCGAAACGTTCATCTTGCCCAGCTAGTACTTGTTTACGCATTTTTAATATGATCAAAAGAATGGTAAACGTTGTTGGTTCCCTCTCGTTCGTTTTTCACTGAATGTCACTGGATTGTAGCTCCCATTCGGAGCGGAGTCTGATACGTTCAGTGGCCGGTGAGCGTTGAATGTGTCGAATCAGTATTCGCTATTCATTTCAGTGACAGTGAAAATAGTCAACTAGCTATCGAAACTAAGTTAACCTCAAACATCAGCGGGTGCATTGAAAGTGGAAACAGGTCGTCCTGCAAGCGCGTTCTATATTCGATGTAAACATTTCAGGAGTCAGTTAGAAGCTCGGTTTATATTACAAGCGGTTCGAGCACGCGTACGGTACCCCTTACCGTGTCAAAATTTTGGCTTGTCAAATGTCCATTTGTCGGCACATGACAAGATTTTTTTAATTTTGGGATGATCGGCACTTCGAAAACGATAAATGGCTCTTCAGGTTATCAAACATATGGATGTATTTATCGGTTTTGGAACCACTTCCGGGTTAATACATGTATGGCGATATATCGGTGATAAATAACGGCATCAGGAAGACACGACTAATGTTTCACAAAGAAAACGACAATTCTGAAAAGAAGGGGAGAAAACGCCGGTCCCTTATTGTGTTTATCCATAATATCGAACAACAGAGAATAGTTTTTATCCGTCATGTCCAAGCCATTAAACAGTCGCCAGCAATGAATAACTGCTCTGATCGACTGCAGTTTGGATGGGATACTCAAATGTGAATGAAATGAAATAAAGAGGATAAGAGCCTCTGACACTAAGGGTACGTATAAACTTGTAAACAATATTTCTTTAATCTTAGACTTGCATTGAACGGTTTTACAACTTTACGACGAGAACTGGATAGTTTTCTCTCCCGATAGTTCAATTAAATTCTGTATTGCTTCCTTAATTCATGCAGAAAAGTGATGAAGTTTTCGAGATGCTTCATCCTAGCCGGACGCCATCTTGAATTTGGTCCTCTTCAGCTCCAATCAAGATCCTCTCCATCTGTTTGTTTTCCTTGCGCTTTCATCTCGCACCTGATTGGTTGTTACACAATTTTCATGTCAAAATCAAATTGAACTGTTGTAGGATTGTTTATTTGCAGTAAAACAAGTAGATTTGTTGCTTGAAAAGCAAGAACGAGAACCCGGCCCTCAAGACAACTGTAGCAGAGAAACGTATAACAGAGAGCGAACAAGCTAATGGAACAAGCTGAGTATTCGTTTTCAAGACGATTAAACGCACAAAGCAATATTAATATCATACAGACCACGGCTTATAATTTGTAGGCATTGGGCAATACCTCTTCTGTTTCTTAGTCTTCACTTGTCATAGAGTTAAGACCTCTTTTGTTTTCTTGCATGAATAACGTTTTTAAACAACAATGTAAAGGTCTGTCATTAGATTTCCGGTGGTCTGATTAGAACAAGTAATGGATATCTTGGTATGCATAAAACTGAAAGAACAATGTATACCTGAATGTTTGCAGATAACGAGACTGTTTGTATGTCTCTGATATCTCACCTGCAGTTGCACTGCAGTTGCGCATTTTTATTATAAAGTTACCTCAGCTGAAGTTCGAAATCCCTGGTTTTATGATATCGTGATAGAGTTCACATTTACTCGATTTTGGGTCAGTTAGACGGATTTATGCTCGGTCAAGTTTCACTACACTTCTTGAGATCTGAGTAGCCATCAAATCATCAAGAATCATATCAGCTTTCGCTGCTCATTTACTAACTATAGCGTTCAAAGATTGTTCTGTAAACTTATTCTTCGTTCAAGTTATGCAGATTGGTGTACAGTATGCTGATGATGCAGCAAATTAAAGATATGCGTTATTGCTCAAGCGTAAGGTCAAGTTAGCGTGGTTATGGACCGAGACGCGGTCGAAGTCTATAATCCGCGTGATGATCACGCACGAAAAAAAAACGAGGCCAGTATCATCCTATATCGATCAAGATTAGTCAGTGAACGGATTTATTACAAAGTAAAAAGAACACCATTTCAACATTTCCACTCAAATATTAATTTATTTAATTAGAATGTTTTTTAACTGCCTTACTAACAACGCCACGAGTTCTATAGTCAAAGTTGCAACCTTACAAATAACAAGCCATCACTTTTTCTCCACTTCGGCATTCCATTTTGTACTAAAACCGTCTTCTTTAAGATTTCAGAAGTCATCTGGCAGGTTTTGCAAAGGACCTATTATGTAACTCAATATTGTTGAAAATTCATTGGCAATCCTGTTACAACCTTTGGGCCATTGATTAGCATTAATTTGGTTTTGTGACGTATTACCATTTAAGAAACTTAGAACGTAGTTTCGCGCGCTGCTTGTCATCAATCAGTCAGGAATAGAAATCAGCTGGCCTACCAAAGTTAAGTTATCGGGGTGGTTAAGGAATTTACCAAGAGCTGTGATGGGTTGCGGAGGCTCGAAACTTTCTCCTCCGCCGGCGAAAGGTAAGAGACTCAACTTATTTCATTTGTCGTAAATTATAATACTTGGTTCGCGCTGCGTGACGGCTTGAATATGCAAGACGGAGTGCATAGCAACGATATCCTTTAACTGGGTAAAACTCCTCGTTTCCGATATCTATCACAGCACCTGGGAACTCAGCAAAACTAATCACAAATATTGTGTTAAAGCAAGTGGAATTTGAGCCAATTTCCTTGAACATTTACTAGAACGACTGTCGCTTTCTCTGGAGCAGAGGTCGCCGGACATTGTAAATTCAATCGAATTTGCAACAGATTTGCGCACGCGTTTTGTCATCAATCCTAGCAGGAAAAGGTCAGGATATAGCAAGCCTGAGATTACAGATTTATCAAGGACTAGTATAGTCAAGTAAGGGATTCAGTTTACAGTATTTCGTTTCATCGAAAATAATACTTCATTGAGCTGCATGTCGCATTAATTTACCAGATGAACACATAGCAACCGGTAAATAGAAGAAGATTAGGCAGAACTTTATACCGTAGTTTACCAAATCTTGCTTTGAAAGTATCCGATATCTCCGACGTCCAGAGCCTGGAAACTCAGAAAGGAGACAAAAATCATACTTTTGGTGTTTAATGTAAGTAGAATTGAATCTATATAATCCCTTTGATCATATAATAAGCGCGGCAATGTTTTTCCCTAGTGGCGATAAATTTGACCCCTTCGACGCGTTTAGAAAATGCAAAGCGTTTGAAAAAGAGAAATTTCATATACTTGCGCTCGCGAACACGGCAGTCACTCGCATTAAGGTTGCATGTTGGTTTACGGCCATGGCGGATTTCAAAATTCTGAGTGCTCGCTCTCTCCCTCTGGCTCTGTTTATTTTTGTTAACTATCGGTTATGCAGCAGAAGTGTCAGATGGTGACTGCTGTCTTTTGTGTCTTCTACGTACACCTTATTTCTAGCGTGGGTCACGTTTGTTGAGCGAAACAGAATGTTTGGCATCCATTATAACTGTCAACGTCTTGAGCAGAAAATTGTAGCTGGCGAGAAGTCAGCCATTTTGCGATGCATTATTTATAGTGTTTTCAACGAGAGCGAATTTTTCGAAATTTCCCGTGTATTGCCGGCGTTTGATTTTGTCTCCGTTTTAATTTGATTACAGAAGATATTTTGACGCAATTTTCCACCCGCTGTATGCTTAGATCTTGCGCGAATTGCAAGAGGTTTTTCTTCTCCAAATAACTCTGTTTCCCTAATCAACAGATCAAGAATCAACACAACTTACATTTGCGAGATTACTTACAACTTATTTGCATATTTTCAAAATGGCAGCATAACTAGAACTCTAACAACTGACAACAAAATTTTGTCTGAGCCAAACAACTCTTTAATTGTCCCTTACCAATATATACAAAATCTAGGAAAATCTACTCAGGGTGAAATGGCTAATTTACTTACTAGCTGATGGCTTATTTGCATAAATTTAAACTTAGCGTTTTCCTGTAGGTGACTGCTATTTCCTCTGCTCTTTGCGGAACAGAATATGTTGGGAAATCGTTGTGAAAGTGTACGTGTAAAACAGCATGCCGCTAAAACACGCACAAAAATTTGCTTATCATAAAAACAAGCATATTGAAGAGGTTTTGAAACTCCTGCTTTCAATTTAACCGGAGTCTTAAAACAACGTTTACAAAGTAACACCCAAAATGTTAACAGCGACGAAAAGTGTTGTTATTTTACACATATGCTAATATAAAGTAAATAAAGACAGTAGATAAAACAACTCAGCTTCTACTAGCTCTGTCATTAAATGAACAGTTATTCTTCATCTAAACTGTGTTGATCAGAAATCAAACACGTTATATTTCGGTTAGTTCGATTAACATCTCCACACTTGCTTTCATAGTTATCTACTCAAAGTCATTTTAACTCGTAGACACTCTTTTGAAAACAACCTTGTAATTTCTACTCAATGATAGTAAAATGTATTTGAAAAGTCTGTCCTCTAGACATTCTCTGACAGAACTTATATTCAGATACATCGCATCATTTGACGAACAGGTAACAGGTGAATTGACACGGTATTGAACTTATAGCTCGCCAGCATCTTATTGATATTTTAGGGGACATTTAAGGTCGTTATCTTCAGCGTGACCTCAAAGTCCACAAGACATATTTACAACTAAAACTGATAGCCTCGTTTTGTTAAATGTTACTATACTAATGCGATGAAGCTCTAAGAGCGCGATGGCATCATAATTTACTGTGAATTTATTATCATTACAATCGCTTCCAATTTGCTAATATTGGTTTCCATCACCCTTCCCCCGTAAGTTTCACTGTTTAGTGGGTAGGCCGTTATTTAGTCCATCCTTGCAAATTTCATCATGTGATGCAGTTATGAAATTACTAGTATTATCTCCAACTTGAAGATCATTTTTCAGTTCAAATACACAAACGCGTAAATGTCAAAAGCTATGTACAATCGATTTTGATAATTCAACAAAATAGCAAAATGGTTATAATAGGGTGCATCTTAGTTGAAAATGAAACATGTTCTTCATTTATAAGGATTTGTAACAATTTAAAACGTCTACAAGAATATGGGCGGTTAGATTGATGAAGTGCTCATAGCCAAAATATACGTATAAAGTGATTTACAAAGTAAGTTTACGAAATTGCTTGTTGCTAATGAAGGCACTCCAAGAAGTCACTTCGGCTACATTCTGACATAAGAAAATGATGAACAGCAGAACTCGTCACCAAAATACGGCTCTATTTCGGTTGAGCTCTTTATTTTTTTATCTATTTTCCTGTAACACTCCCCTGTATAAAACAATGCACTGCATAAACTACTGCATTTCGCCTCAGCTTACATTGTTTTATTTCAATATGGCTATTTACAACGCTTCAGTAATTTTTGATGCACAATGGATGACTCGGAGAATGGACATTGTGTTAGCACACAATTGTATATATTTTATTATTTATTTTTGGCAATCACTTTTTGATTTCGCTTAGTTATTAGATTTCGTAAGAGCAACTGCACACCATTTCTCTGATATTTATTTCAGAGTTTTCTCTTTAAGCTAACCACAACCGTGATCTGTACTTTTTGTTTGGTAAACCAGGTTGTTGCTAAGCAACAGGAATTCAAGCTGGAAAACTTTTTTCGCGGCTTAATACTTTCCCTTTTGTTCTTTTCGAGTTGGTGACATATTCTTGAACCATTCAATTACGTTTGCGACGAACTCGTTGACAGCTATTGTTCCTGTTAATCCCTTAAAACTATCGTTAGTTGAATCATGTTTGGATAACGACAACCTGGTTATGTTTCCAATCCGCTTAAATTCACATAAGTTGAACTGTGAACTCAGTTTGATGTTTTCTGAATCATCTGTCCGTGCAATGGACAGGAACTGTGGAACCACTTGGCTTCACCTGTCCATGTACAATGGAACACCTTTGATCACATTAAGATATTTACATATTGCTTTCAATTCTGTTTGTTTTGTTTATTTGTTGTCATGAAAACAGCTCACCTCCTAGATGATTTCCGTGCGCTTCATCAAGCAACGTTGAAGATTGGTGACATAATCTATGCGTTCTTTTTATACCTTTTGTCGTTTACAAACAAGTTTGAATATTTTCGAGTTTTTCATGTTGAACTCAATTTTTGAAGGGAATGGCGCCGTTCTTAGACCGTTCCGCCAGTTTATTCGAAGTCCAGTTAGCCAATCATAGCCATTTGCGATATGAGCCACACAAACGTTGATTAGCGTCGGTGTTCGCTTATCCCATTAGATCGTTAGTGAATAGTTGTTTGATTTGTTTTCTTTGCAAGTTTTCATGAATACTGATAACTTTCCACGTAGTTTCCGCGAGGGTTTATCCCACAGGAAAGTGAAGATTAGCCACACAATCTAAACGTTTTTCGGGTGCTTTTACTGTTTACGAACGGAGTTTGAATATTTTCGAGTATTCCAAGTCAAACCAACTCTTTGTCGTGGCTGCATTAAAAGGAAGCTACCCTTCTAAGACCAAAATCCAGCTAGACAATCACAGCCTATTGCGTTGAGCCGCGTAATCGTTATTTAGTGTCGATTTGGTTATTATTAGAACAGCCGGAGTGCCCCAGTTTAAGAAATTAAAAGATCAAGTTCTGACCTGATCATCTGGTCTCTTCTGACGAAATCTGTCAGTCCGACGGCAAAATCTGTTCGGCAACAAAGCATCTTCACTAGGTATCTTGTGTCTAGGTGTCGCATTTTCGTTCAGTGCCATCCTTTACGATGCAAAGGTTTTTTTTCTCCTCGCCCCTCTGGGGATGGATAATGGCCAAACAAAAAATCTCTGAGGCCAAGCTTGTTCTCGCAGATATTTCACTCTAGACTCCTCTTGGCTCGTTCCGCTCGCCGATTCTTTTTTCACCCTTTCCCTCACGGCGCACGTGTTAACAGGTTAACCTTTGGGCATGGTATCAACTGATTGTGTGTATTTGCTTTTACCCAGAACCTCCTCCTGAAGTAGAACAAAACCCTGAAGCTGAATCGACAATGAAGAAAGCAGCAGCACCGAAACCTGCAGCAAGGTAAACCACTACACTACTAGAAATGTTTAAATTATGGCGCACCACAAGGTTGGGCTGGCTTACACTGGAGATACACTGGCTTTGTCATCATTGCTTGTACGTTGTTCATAGATGCGTTCAGTAAATTACGTCATAATATGTTCTATACCCATGCCATAAAAATAAACAGCCAGTCAGAAAACAGGAAAGCTATTGGACACTTAACGGTATTACACCCAACCTTCCCATCGTGCACTCCGCGAATGACGCATTGATTAAGTGTGTTGGCCACTGTTTTGTCTATGGCGTAGTGTAAAATAGTTCAGTATCCAACGCTTTGCCTTGGTATACCATGGAGCGTCCAGCTGTGCATACCGAGAAAATACCACGAGAAAACGTTGCATAACTATTATGTTTCTCAAGTTTCGGTTTGGTGTAAGCTTCGTAGGTGAGGCCCTGGAGCAAGCGGTGAACCTAAATATGTTACAGCAAAAAAGAGGTCATGGCACTTAGTAAGAACCTTCCAGCAGATGGTGATATTAATTCTTCTCAATAATCACAAGGATATACCGACGTTCTTGATTTTCTTTTTTCTCATTACCTGTCAGATTGACAATATATTGAGACGGTAAGGAGAAATTAGAAGCTGATCGCTCTTGAGGAAGCAAGCGGTAAATTGAGCTTCTTCAAGGATGGCGCAACATGAAACACTTGGCTTACATTTTTTCAAGTTTTACCTTCGTAACTTGTGTTTATGTTGTCTAATATTGACTATCTGTATAGTATTGTGAAAATTAGGAAAGAGAACTATGGATAATCAGCCATGACACTGTCCCCTCAATTATTCATGATCTTTTTAAAGTTCCCTTTATTTGAATATGTCTTTTCATATCCTGACAAAGATTCGTTAACATTTTAGCTCCCAGTCTTCAAGCGGAAACTACCCTGATCTGTCGCAGCATAACAACTGGATGGCAAGATGCCTCACAAAGGAGATTTATGAAAAGCTCTGCGACAAGAAAACTCCAAGCGGCTTCTCGCTAGATCAGGCCATTCAAACCGGTGTGGACAATCCAGGTCATCCTTTCATCATGACAGTGGGCTGTGTTGCAGGCGACGAAGAATCGTACGAAGTCTTCGCAGACCTTTTTGACCCGGTCATCGAGAAGCGCCATGGAGGATACCAGAAGACAGATCGCCACAGAACCGATTTGAATCCTGAGAATCTTATTGGTGGAATGCTTGATGAGAAGTATGTGTTGTCGTCTCGAGTGAGGACCGGCAGAAGCATAAAGAATCTTAGCTTGCCACCTCAATGCACACGAGCTGAGCGGCGCAAGGTAGAGGCGTTGGTGACCGAGGCTCTGGACTCCTTGGACGGCGAATTCAAAGGGAAGTATTACCCACTGGCAAAGATGACGGAGAAGGAACAAGAGCAGCTTATCGAAGACCACTTCTTATTCGACAAGCCTGTGTCTCCTCTTCTGCTCGCGTCCCGCATGGCTCGGGACTGGCCTGATGCCCGCGGTATCTGGCACAATGACAAAAAGAACTTTCTCGTCTGGGTCAATGAAGAGGACCACACTCGTGTTATATCCATGGAGAAGGGCGGGAACATGAAAGGTGTTTTCGAGCGTTTCTGCACCGGACTTAACAAAGTTGAAGCTGCCATTAAAGGCAAAGGATATGGATTTATGTGGAACGAACATCTAGGGTACATTCTGACCTGCCCGTCCAATCTCGGGACGGGACTTAGGGGTGGGGTGCACCTGAAGATCCCCCATGTCAGCCAACAGAAAGAGTTCGCCGACATCCTGAAGAAGCTTCGTCTTCAAAAGCGTGGTGTTGGAGGTGTCGACACCGAGGCAGTTGGAGGCACGTTCGACATTTCCAATGCAGACCGACTGGGATCGTCTGAAGTGGAGCAGGTGCAGTGTGTAGTCGACGGTGTCAGTTTGCTGATTGTAATGGAGAAAGAACTGGAGGCCGGAAAACCTATCACCAGCCTGTATGAGAAACTCATGTCCGGTACACCCGCGCGGCAAATCGTTGTCGAGGCCGAGAAAGGAGAAGTAACAACAGTCAGCAACTTTCCAGATCTTTCCCAGCACAACAACTGGATGTCGAGATGCCTGACCAAAGAAATTTACGACAAGCTTTCCGTGAAGAAGACACCTTCAGGCTTCACGTTGGACCAAGCCATTCAGACAGGCGTAGACAATCCAGGCCACCCTTTTATCATGACAGTTGGCTGTGTCGCTGGAGATGAAGAGTCTTACGATGTCTTTGCTGAGTTGTTTGATCCCGTGATCGAGGGACGCCACAACGGCTACAAGAAGGACGCGCTTCACAAGACCGACTTGAACGCACAAAATCTTGTTGGAGGCGAAGACCTGGACAGCAACTTCGTCCTCTCAAGCCGTGTTAGGACTGGGCGCAGCATCCGGGGTTTGGCCTTACCACCTCACTGCACCCGTGCCGAACGCCGGGAAGTTGAGAAGGTCGTAGTGGAAGCCTTAGACACGCTAAAAGGAAGTTTACAAGGAAAGTACTACCCCTTGAATAAGATGACACCACAAGAGCAAGATCAATTGATTGAAGACCACTTCCTGTTTGATAAACCGGTCTCACCACTGCTTTTGTCTTCCGGGATGGCTCGGGATTGGCCCGATGCTCGCGGGATCTGGCACAACGACCAGAAGACCGTGCTGGTGTGGGTAAACGAAGAGGACCATACACGCGTCATCTCCATGCAAAAGGGCGGCAACATGAGAGAAGTCTTCACTCGCTTTTGTGAAGGTCTTCAACAGATCGAGGACGCCATGAAAAAGAAAGGTAAAGCATTCATGTGGAATAAGCATCTGGGGTTCATACTCACGTGCCCATCTAATCTGGGCACGGGCTTGCGCGCTGGCGTGCACGTGAAACTACCCACGTTATCAAAAGACGAGCGCTTTGAAGACATCCTCAAGAAGCTGCGCCTACAGAAGCGTGGAACTGGAGGAGTGGACACCGCCTCTACTGACGGCATCTTTGACGTGTCAAATCTGGACCGACTGGGCTTCTCTGAGGTGGAACTCGTTCAGAAAGTCGTCGATGGCGTCAAGCTTCTTGTTGACATGGAGAAGTGTCTTATGGAAGGAAAGTCCATTGACGATCTGGTGCCAAACTAAAAGAGACTTCTCTTAAATATGAGAACTTTGAAAACACTTTTGAAAACTTTCTTTTAAGGCTTAATCACTGGAAGCCAAACTTTGCTTAATGTGTGAACTAACGTATCTGATGCCGTAGTAGGAGAGACCTGTCAGAATTTCAGAACTCTGACAAGTTCTTGAGCTTTTTCAAAAGCTTATACACAACTTTGTAATGTTTAATGACATAGGCTGGTGTTTGATTTGAAACCCATAATTACTCTTCAACCAGGAAAATATCGTAGAATTGGCCAGTAGCAAGACTGAACAGTGTTGCAGTATCTGTTTACAGAAACCTCTAGACATGTGTTCTTGAAACGAAATACATCCTCGGATTACCAAATTGAAATGTCTGTGAGAGGTTACACGTAATGAGTGTTCCATAGCAAACGAAACATGATGTATAAAATGAACAGTGTGGGTAATATAGAGTGCCTTACTTCAGTGGAAGTACGTAAAATATTCAACGAAGTATCTTGAGTCTGCACATAGAATTGTTTGAGTGTAATACAAAACAGGATAATAAATTCTGGCTTTTTCTGGAATTGAAACGAGTCTAACTTATCTAGGACAAATTTGTTCCACATAAACTTCAACCTGCGAGCAGTCGGTTTCTCTCTCTTGTTGGCCTAGGAGAAACTAACTGCTCGCGGGGTACACACTCTTGGATTTTCTTCATAAAAACGTATCCTATTTAAAAACATGAAAATGCGCTTTTTTGCATGGCCTTAGGTCAACACTCGAGAACGTTTGGGAGTTTCTCAAAGTTAAAATCGAGCTTAAGGCGTGGGTTAGCGTAAATAGTACTCGACTTTGGAGTTCTCCCAACTAACTTGTACGAGACTTGTAGAAATGAAGCGCCCGTTTTCCCTTGGATCTTAGTCACGGTCTGTTGCATTCGATGGGAAAAGATTATTGTGATATTCATATTACCAAGAAGGGGACGATCACCTTATCAAGTAAGCGGCAAGGGAAATGAATCACAGCTACTAAGTGCGTTTCCAATTCGAAAAAAAAAAAAGAAACGCTGTGTTTGGGTGCATGAAAGATTGGATAGTCAGAGAGCGAGAAGTGATTGATAGGTGTCATGTCACTGCGCGCAACGTGGCAGAAGGGGAGCTCACGTTCGTTGCAATTACTATACCCTCTACAGCAGCTGCCATGTTGCACGAGGCGTGTTGTGCAGTGTAGATATCGCGCCTAACGCTGCATCAATTCACCTCCAGTTATCGTCACGCAAAGATTAGGTGTCGAGCTTAGCGACACCTAATTAGTAGTCGGTCCACTAGAAATAACTGCTGCGCGCGATATTTGATCACAGTATTCTGTTTATCTCTTTCAAATCTATATTCTCTAAAATGACTCTAATTTGACGATACTTTTGACTATACTATCCTCCAAAACCTCCTCTCCAGGGCGCTGCCCCACCTTTGAAATGAGAAGCACCCTGGGAACGAAGTTGTGGCCTCTACTCAGGCTTCCAGAAGAATGTTCTCACGTGCACATCATGCGAGTCAATCCAACTATCGTAAACAATTTTGAAAACAAACAATCATTAATGCCTGCTAGTTGCACGACAAACCAACTAGATCCCAAAGCAAAAATTTATATTTGCTGAAAAACGCGGTAAAACATGTAACGGATGGAACAGACCCAGGAAAACGTGCAAAGCGCGGGAAAACATGTCAGCCGGTTGAGAGGGCACAGAAGATTCACAGTTTGACGTCCTTTAGAATCATTCGGATAAAAAGATAGTAGAGCAGTTTTCAACTGAGTGTCGTAAAACCAAAACCAAAGTAATCACTCTAGCCAATCACAAAGAACACGGACAATACAGTGAACCAATCAAAACTCGCGGGAAAAAGAGTGCGAGTGAGTCAGAATTGGTTTTGGTTTTACTTCTGATTGGATGAAAAAGTTGCGCGAATGTTTAAAGCCAATCGTGTGGCGTAGTTGACGCAAAACCAGTTACTTTTCGACAATCAAATGAAAATCTCTTCTGTGATTGGTTAGACAAGCACGGTTCGGCAGTAAAAAAAATCTACGACAGCTTTGCCAGATGCAGCACATTATGAGAGAATGTCAAGACTATGCTGTTGTAATGTAGAACAATCCTACAGCTAAAATATTATCAAAATGTTTGCTTTTCTCGGTTATTAACCGAAATAAACAGATGCCTCTCTTCACGCACTCGAAATAGCTGTTCTCTAGCTTGAGTGACGTCAGAGTTTCGTCTTAAAAATTCCATGTTGATGACGTAGCTCTTCAGTGATAAGTCGCTGATTCGTTTTGGTCGGTTTTGGCCGTTTTGATCTTTGGCGCGTAAGTGAGAACCAATAAGAGGCGCTGAACAGATCTCTGCGGAGCACGTCACCAGACCTCTCACTCGCGGGAAAATCCTCGTCCCGATGGGTCCTTACTCCTCATCCCTCGAGGAATGCAGAGAAAGAAAAGAGGTTGCGTCTCAAGTCCTTCGTCGTTGTATAATCTACTATTCAAGCTATTTCTCTGTTTTCAATACATCTCAAATTGATTTTCTTTTAAGTGTGTGTGATATGTGAATCGGTTTGCAGAGCGGTAGGACCCAGATTTTCGCGTGATCTCTTTGGTAGCATCGCTTCTTCCGCTCCAGTTTCTTGAAGCCATTTGTTGCAGCGCTCTCTGGAAATCCGCTTTAAAAAATGTGAACAAAAACGGATTGAAAAGCGCTGAGCTGACTTTTAGGAAAAAAAGCATCACGTTTACCCATTGCGGGATTCTGGTCATAAGTGAAGTGTCCAAGTCTATTAATAGAGTCAGGAAAAAATACGGGAACCATGCACAGGCGAAACACACCAACATAACAAAGTAAACTATCAATGATCGCTTGACATTGCGTCTTTGTTTCTTCTTCCGCTGCACTTTGTTGTTATTCCCTAACGTAATCAAATTCTGTCTTGACTTTTTGCTCTGTTTCATGATGACATAGATGCGAATGAAGGCTGCAACGGTAACGATGAATGGCACGAACACAAACAGCGAAAGGACCGTTGCGTTGTAGATGAGGTAAGTGTTCATTATGTCTGGTGAGGAAATGAGGAGTAGCTGAGCCAGCGATACTGACATTGCGGTTATCCACACGGAAATCAAAACAGCCGCAATGCGCGGTTTTGTGGCAATGGAAGCGTACTTAAAAGGCGACGAGATCTTCAGGTATCGTTCCATGACAGCAGATGAGAGGTGTAAAATTGTCGAAATAGCTAACCCACGTTGGCAGATGTCCATCGCTATGCATATCGACTCGTTAACTCTTACTACATTACATGATATCACCAGCGGTATCACCAGGACTCCTGCGAGTAAGTCACTCGCCGCTAGACTGAGAAGGAAGAAGTTGGTTTTAGTGCGGAGGTATTTCATGTGCCAAGCCAACACAAATACAAGGCTGTTTGCCAGTGCAATTATAAAGGCAGCCAAACCAAGGAATGAAAAAATCACTTTCATTTCTGTATCGAGTGTAAACCCTTCGTAACTGTCATGTGCCGAGACGTTATATTGCGACAAATTCTTTGTTGTACCAGCCATCTTAATGCTCTATTTTAATCGAGAAGATATTGTCACTGATTGTCTTGTCTCTCCTTTTCTTTCTTGCTAGCTACAAAAGAAATAAGAAAGAAATTGTAGAACTTAGAAAGGTAATCTGATAAACTTGGGAAGTTATATTTATCCTATGCTTTCGATTTCTTAAGGATTTAAGCGGCAACAAGTTTTAACATTGAAAGAAATCTAAGCTTACAACCCTGCTGTATTATTTTAGAAATAATAATCACACATTTGTACCTAGTACTATATTATGTGACGTACTCATTTGTGCACGCGATGCGGACCTATGTCGTTTGTCTCAGTCTGTTCGTGAACCAGTTCTCAGAACCGACAGGTTAATAATACACTTTTAAAAGCACAACGCCTTTCAGTTTTAAACACAAGAAAGTTTCAAGAATAAATTAAAGAAACCGTGAACATTAATTGGGAGAAGCCTGCTATAAATCAGCAAATTCATCATGATAATTTGTCTCTTTCATTTATATTTTTCTGCATGTTTTTTCTGCATTTGCCTGTTATTCTTTAGTTTTCAATTCCGCGTATTTTATTCCTGTTATGTAAGTTACTCTAGGTAACACCTATTGTAAAAACTCGTATATTAACTTTATCAAATTCACTTTAGTAGTAACTGACGATGACAGAAGTTACTGTCGAAACGTGTATTTAAAACTGAAAAGCGTCGTCCTTTTTTAAAGTTTATTAGAAGCCTGGTGCTAACAATACCGTTTGGCAAAACCGACATGTTCCATTTAATCACAGTGCAAGACTGTGTGACTAAGCCTTAATTAGACAGGAGGTACTTAGGATTGTTGGCCGCCCTTTCTTTACTCGCGCGAGCTTATGGTATAAAACAAACAAAAGCCTATTGTCAAATTGTCTCATTAGTTCCAATTTCTCGAAAGTGCTTTATAGACTCGACTTGCTCTTTGTACAAAAAAAAAATTTATTTAACTTCCGAGTCCAACATTTGCGAAAAAAAAATAACCAAAGCACCTCAGGGAAAGAACTGATTCTAATGGCCAAGTTTTAGTGCAGCGTTTTGTTATTACATATACGATTTTAATAACGTTTAGCAGACTTAATGGCGCTTTACACCTCCCAGTGGAAACCAACAAAATGCTATTAATGCCACAGTGTTTATAAGTGCAGCAAATCCTGGTGTAAACCTTTCTTAATTTCGCTGGCTATATTATGTTTTGCTCCTGTCTAGCTGAGTCGTCGTTGCTAGCAATTTACTCGCTCAATTGGTAAACTTGTGGATTATAACTGTTCGAACTTTGTATAGAGTAACGTTTTCCCAGATTTCACCTACAGTTGCTTATCAGCCTTTGTGAGCATGTCTGTACGTAATTCAAATCGTGTGTTGTTCAATTGGCAGAGTGATGGGAAAACTAGAGCAACGAGACATCACTCCAACACATCATTAAAATAAGGAAGAGCTTGTATGAACATATGCACAGACATTCCTGTCAGGTTTGATTCCAACAGATTAGTTCCTTTTCTAAAGAACACAGAATTGATAGGCTAACCCTCACCTTCTGTTTTAGAATAAAAACCTTGCTTTCAGTCTTGTCTGTCTTCAAATCAAGACTGCCACCTTAGCTTATGGTAGCGATGAATGCGTCAATTTTCTTGAATTCTAAACTGTTTACTTTGAACAACAGATGGATTAAAATTTTGAAAAAGAAGCATCTCTTGGGAATGCTAAGGAGGTTATGGCATACCATTAAAGACAGCAATAATGCTTTCAGAGTGTATAGTACATTGTCTTTAAAAACTTTTTGTATTTTGTAGTTTCTAACTCTAATGTCTAAATGTACAATTTTCAGTACTGCACATTTCATATACTATCTTTCTCTGTCAAAAGAGGACTAATTCAAATGAGATGAGGCCGGGATGGAAGCGAGGGTCTGGATACGAGTATTTCGGCAGTCTTTACATGCAATTTAAGATAGCGTGGAACATATGC